TTTGCCATAAGTCGTGCTTTATATCTCTCTATATTCCCTTGAGAATCAAGTTTTGTTTTGTAGACCCATTTACAGCCTACTATTTTGGCTCCTTTAGGAATTATTTCCAAGCCCCAAATTTATTGGCATTCATAGATTTCATTTCATCTTCCATGGCCTCAAGCCACTTTGATGAATGATCACTTCTCATGGCTTCTTAAAATGAGGTGGGATCATCCTCCATTTGAAATTCCTCAGTGTTGTATACTTCATAGTCAGCAGGAATAGCTGATTTTCTAACTCTTTGAGACCTTCTAGGGGCCTCCACATTTGGCACATCTTCTGTTTGAGACTGTTGTTGCTCCCCCTCATGTGTGGCAATAGGTTCTACAGGATCCTGAAGAATAGGTTCCTCATCGTCATTCATTGTTGCCACAGGCGAAATAACAACAGGTGCTGGCACCACAATATCTTGCACAGTCGGTGCAGCGACAGCAGGTAGTGAGAAAAATGGCTCATGAATCATCGGAGTGGACGCATACACCCGCTTCTCTTCAAGGTCAATTTCTCAAGCTACCATGCTTCCCCTCATCATTTCATCCTCTAGGAAGACAGCATGTCTCATTTCCACAAACTTTGTATGTCTGTCTGGATAGTAGAAACGAAAACCTTTTGACTTTTCTGGGTAGCCAATAAAATGGCAACTCACTATTTTGGGATCTAGCTTCCCAATGTTTGGGTTAAATACTTTAGCCTCAGTAGGACTCCCCCACACACGTAAGTGGTTTAGTGAGGGTACTCTTCCTGTCCACAACTCATACGATGTTTTGGGCACCGACTTACTTGGTACTCTATTAAGAATATGAATGGCGGTTTTTAATGTCTCCATCCACAGGCTCAACGATAAGGTGGAGTAACTTATCATACTGCGCACCATATCCATCAGGGTACGATTGCGTCTTTCAGCTACTCTATTCTGCTGAGGTTCGCCCGGTGTAGAATACTAGGCTACTATGCCATTCTCCTGTAAGAACCTTGCAAAAGGTCCAGGAACTTGGCCATATGGGGTATGCCGACCGTAGTACTCCCCCCCCCTCATGGTTAGACCTGACTATCTTAATCTTTAAATTGTGTTGGTTTTCAACTTCTACCTTAAATATCTTAAATTTATCCAATGCTTCTGTTCTTTCTTTGATTGGATAAATATAGCCATAACAGGAGTAATCATCTATGAATGTTATAAACGAATCATAACCATCCACTCTTTATAGGAAACAGACCACAGATGCCTGTGTGAATAATCTGTAAAATTCTTGCGCTTTGTTTGGCATCTTTCTTAATTTTCTTTACATAGTTTCCTTTTATGCATTCTCTATATTTTTGTAAATCTGAGAACTCTAATGGAGGAAGAATATCATTTTTAACTAGTCTTTCTATTCTCTCCCTCGAAATATGGCCTAAACGATAGTGCCATAATTTCGACGACGCATCGTGAGCTCTCTTTCGTTTTCTGTTTACATCCGCAGACGATGATACATTCTCATTGTCGCACGCAGCATTCCCATCATCACATACAACATTCACATCATCACATAGTGATAACAAATAAAGCTCATTTTGTAAGATAGCAAGACCAACACATGCATTATTAAATGTTATCTTACATTTGCCATTTCCAAAATGGCAATCATATCCATCATTGTCCAAGCATGAAGCACTAATCAAGTTTCTCTGTAAAGAGGGAACATAAAGTATATCTCTAAGTAAAAGTGTGAAGCCATCAGCAAGCTCTAGAGAAAGATCGCCAACGGCTTCAACATCTGCTCGGACTCCATTTGCAACTTTAACGTGTCTTTCTCTTCTTTGCATAGTCCTCGTCGAACGGAATCCCTGTAAGGAATTAGCAACATGAATAGTTGCACCTGAGTCAATCCAACAAGCAGATTTCGAATACTGTACATACAAGGATTCATTTATGAACATAATAATGTTCTCACATTTCTTTGCCATGATCATCTTTAAGTAATCGGGACAATCTTTCTTATAATGTCCCGTCTTCTTGCAATAGAGACACTGGTCTTTCTATACTGTGAACTTGTTCTGCTGAGGCTGATGCAGCATGGGACCATTTCCCTTTGACTTTGAGGAGCAGTTAGTATTAGTATTCTTTTTCTTGTTGTCTTTCACATAATTGATAGTGCCACCATTGGCAGCTTTCATTCTCTCCTCCTCTTGCACACACTTAGCCATGAGCCTCTCTAAGTCCCATTTCTCGGGCTGTATGTTGTAGTTGACAATAAAAGTGTCAAATTCCTTTGGCAAGGAAGCAAAAATTAGATGGATAAAGAACTCTTTCTTGAGAGCCAGATCCATTGGTTTTAGCTTGGATGTCAAATTGCTCATCCTTAGTATGGGCTCTCTTATGCCACCATTTTCAGAGTACCTCTCTATCACCAGCTGCTTTATCAGCTGGGTAGCATATGTTTTTGAAGAGCCAGTGAACTGACTCTTTATTCTATCGAGGTACTCGGTGACCGTGTCACACTCTGGGATTGAGCCCACAATTGCAGGCTCAATCATGTTTTTATCACAGCCAAACATTTTTTGTTGGCAGTGACCACTTCCTATGCTCAAGGTCATATGACATCTTTTGGGATGCAAAATCCCTCTCTCTAGTTGCCCAAGCAGCATCAGCCTCGTTTGTCTCCCTCGCCGGTGCCACAGGCTAAGTGGGACACGATGAGGTGACTACCCAGTCCACCTCAGTCAAGATGAAGGCCAGGTTAATCTTTTTCTTCCACTCCGTATAGTTGTCACCTTTGAGAGTGGGGATCTCTTTGATACAACCCATCAAGTTGTATCCGTCTGAAAACACAATTCATATTGAGTGACAACATAAACATAATAATAACAATTGCATGCCTTAGTTTCAACGTTGGTCAAAATTAAAACATACAACGGTTTATACATTAAATCTACGTCACCGTTGGGAAGAAATAAAAATAATGCATAAAATCATTAAAATTACGATATTGTTATTAACAATGTTGGTCAAAAAATAACAACATTATAATCATGTCAAAATCTCTTTTTCTCCAATTAAATATCACGTTGGTCCAAAATAACTAGACAATAAACTATTTCTTTAGCTGCGAAAAACGTAAAAAATTATCTATTTTTCAGAAGCATTTCTTTGTAATTTCTCTATTCTCTGAAAATTTATCCCGTTGGTTCAAATTTTAACAGAGATATTAAACTAGACAAAATTCATCGAAATCTGCTTCTGAAAATTAAATAAACTCGAAACTTTATTTACTATTCATTCTGGCCCGGCCTGTAGCAACAGTAACCGGCTCAGCACCAACAGTGCGCGGCCTGGCCTGCCACAGCAACCCACGCACGCGCGCTCGCGGCACCTCCACGCGCCCAGGCTGCAACCTGGGCCTGGGCCTGCAAAGTCGCTCGCCACGCTCGCCCGCCTGGGCCGATTTCGGTCCAGTCGCGCTCGTCCGTTCATCTGCATCGGACGGTCGCGCGCGCGGTTCGGTCGAACAAAACCCCCCGCGCGGTGTCCTCCCCCGAACCCTAACGCATTCGGCTGCCTCCCTTCCTCTCTCTTCGTCGTGCTCCTTCCTTCTCAGCGCAGCAACAGCGAGCGACCGAGAGCGAGACGCGAGACGCAGTGAAGCATGGCGACGTCGCCGGCCCCTTCGCCGGCGCGCGCGCTCCCCACGTGGGTGAGCACGCCGCCATCGAGCGGACTAGCAGCGGTGCCCTTTGCCGGAGCTCGCAAGGCTCGGCCATCTTCCCGCGGTGAACGGCGAGGCGGCAGCGCGGTGAACGGCGAGGTAGGCCCCTTCCCCTTTTCCCCTTTCTCCTTTTCTTCATCTATTTTTGGATCTTTTTCTCTGTTCTTCTCGGATTTCATCCGATTGGGGATTAGGGTTAGGTTAGGGTTAGGGTTTCGCTTTTCTCTTCTTCCCCGAGTCTGTTTTGAGGATTAGGGTTCGGCTTCGCGTGCCGAGACCCCTTTCTCTTCTCTGTTCTTCACCTGATTAGGGTTAGGGTTCGGTGACCCTCTGTTCTTCTCAGATCCGAATGGATCTAAACTGTTTCTTTCCCCTGACATGATCTACATCTAGACAGAGGGTTCCGATAGGCTAGACCTATACCCAATGAGGCTCTGGTACCATTGTTAAAGCTAAAGCATGATCTCTAGGCATAGAACTAGCATGTCTACTTGCTATTGAATGAAACCATGAGCCCTAGAACATCTACTAGTGCAATAACAGTGGATAGAACGAGAGAAAGAGAGGGGTGGAGTAGAAGAAGAACGTGTCAAACCTGACACCGCAGAGGGGGATGGTCCAGAAGCCACCATCTCATTCGTCGGTGAAGTCTGCGCACGGGCAGCGATGTTCGGGGAAGAGGTCGATGAAGCCGTCGATGTCGGTGGAGCAGGGTGGCGCGGCTGGTGGCTTTCCGTCACTGGCTGCGCCCCTCTCTGATCGGGATTAGGGTTTAGGTTTCGGTGGGGAGCTCGGCTCAGGCGAACCTCGTACTCAGAGCCGCCGGGCCCACCTCTATATATTGCGCAGTGTGACAGGGGCCCTCCAGCCATAGTGGGCTGGGCGCCCCCGATCAGGGCGCGGATCAAAGGCCCAACTGGGCCGTTGGGCCCAGTTTGGGATTGGAGATCAATCTAACAGATGGGAGCAGCAGTGCAGCACTACCGTGTCAAGTGCCCTGGAGGTGTTCAATGAAATACCTAAGCTAGATTATATGCCACATTCAGTTTTGAATCTCTGATCTTCTGCTGCAGTGCAAGTTTTAAGTCGATCTTGTTCTGGCATGTATAAGTATAAGGCAGTGTTGGATGTGCTAGGTGTTCAATTCATATTTTTATGTACCTGTCTGGTTCACTGTGGTGTATTTCAAGAACAAATATGTCTTACTTTGCAGACATTGACATCTGATTTTGGACTCATTAGATTTGTGGATGGCTCTTGATTGAATAAACCATGAAGGAGATGCCCTTGAATAGATTCATGCCCTTCCTTTCAAAATGTTGTACTTCTACCGTTCAGACATTCTCATCATATTCATCTTTTTCCTCGTCCTTGTCCCCGATACAACCCTGGTTATTTGTCGGTCTTGGCAACCCTGGTGAGAAGTATCAATCCACCGGGCATAACGTAAGTTGCACATCTCATCTTGTATTTCAAAATTTCTCAATGTCTTGGTATTTATTCTTGTATTTTTCTTGCAATTTGTTTGCTCACAGGTGGGTTTTGATATGATAAATGCATTTTGCATAATCCTGTGGTATACCCCCGACTACACATTACTTCAAAGCACTCTTTGGTGAAGGTTTGGCGCCATTTACGCACCACGAGAAAGAATATCACTCCTCATATTTTGTGATGCATGTTTTTGTTTCTTAGCACAAAGGGTTAAATTAATGTATTGTCCTCACCATTGATTCAGGGATGGTTGATGGAGTCCCTGTTCTTCTTGCCAAGCCCCAGACTTATATGAATCTCAGTGGAGAATCTGTAAACGACACTTCTGGGCGTGTTTCCTACTTCTCCTGCCTAATACTGTTCTATTCTTGCATACTTTGTTTCTTTCACTGATTTTCTGTGATATGGGCTTTGATTTGGTTGATGCAACTAAATACTAACAGATGTTTCACCTGCTACCTCTTGAATTTGAGGTACCATTGCACAACATGTAAACTTAACCATGCTAATTCTGTTTAATGATAGTAATCTTGATGCATTATGGGTTTTTGATTATTTATGTCTTACTGTCTTTAACTGGACATACAAAATTGTTTACACAATTCTTGTTTGATGACTACTAGTGACCAGTCTCTGTTTTCACTTGCAGGTTGGTCCACTTGCTGCCTATTATAAACTGCCACTTAATCGTGTCCTAGTGGTAGGTGTTTGTTTCTAAACTTTGCTAGAGCCATGTTACAAGGCAATATGACTTCTCTGGTATGTGAGTTTCAGGCGTTTGATGATATGGACTTGCCATGTGGAGTTCTCCGTTTACAGCCAAAAGGAGGTTTTGGACGGCATAATGGGTATGTAGGCTTTATTTTTGTTTGTTTTGTGGGATCATCTTCCACCTAACAAAAGAAGTTTATATTTCGAAAGGAAAAACATCTATCTCTATGTTTAAATGCATATATCAGCAATGGTAACCACTTTAAATCACAAACTTGGCCATTGTCTTAGTCCCCTAATCTGGGTTGTTGGCATGCCTTTAGGAGACACTAAAAGAATCTTTTTGAAGTTCTGTAGCTATTTCCCCTTTTTTTCTATCAGTGTGGTGTTCACACATCTGTCTTGCTCTCCTTTTTCCTTTCATTTTTTTATGTTTCTTTTAGTTTGTTTTTCTTGCTTGCACTTTCCATTTTGCATAACTTGGGGGGCATCTAATTAGTTATCTGAAAAGGCTATCCATTACTTTATAACACTCTTAATCTGTGTAACAGCACATTACCTTGTGTCAAATTTTCTTTGGTTGGTATGAAAATAAACCATTAGCTATATGATATCTATTGGATGTTGACAGATAAAAGATTTATCTGATCTTCACAATAAACATTTACCCTTTTAGTTTACCAGGTTGAAGAGTGTTATATACCACTTTCGTAAGAATCAAGAATTTTGCCGATTAAGGATTGGTACTTTCTACACTCTTGCCATTTAGAATTTGTTTAATTTTGCTGGACAAGAATTCATCTTGACTTATTTAGGAATAGGACGGCCACCTGGCCAGATGGATCCTAAAGCCTTTGTTCTTCAGAAGTTCAATAGGACTGGTCGTGAACGGGTAAACATCTCACTAGTAATTTGTGCTTCTGTTGTTATTGTTTCATGTTATGGTATTTGTTTTAATATTATCTGAACTCTGCTGTAGCTATTAATGAGCTAGGTAAGATTCACATTACCACATTAGTTGTATTGTTAATCTTTTATCTGGACCCAATAATAGAAAATTTCGAAATTTCTCTGACAGATATGACCATACAATATTGATTCCACTATTCCAGCAAACTTGTATGTATATGTAAGCATGCTGCAAGCTTTAGTTTTGGTATAAACTTCACCAAAACCTTGGGTAACTTTCACAATGCTTTCTGCGATAGGAGGATTGATACTGGAAAACTTTTTAATTTGGTGGGTGCTGTTTCTTACCAGCAGTCTGGTTGCACATTCCTGAATAGTTTCAAAGGAAGCAACCACAGTATATGGAATATGGTGATGCTTGTTTGATTTTGTGTTGAGAAGATTGATTTAGCCTTGTAGTCAGGTTGAATTTGGTGTCGAAGTTAAAATCAAAGGTTGAGATTGGCATTTAGAGAGTTGGGCTTGAGCTACATCTGAGCCAACCTCTTGAAAACTGTGGGCCTTGAGTTTCCTTTCTGTCCAAGTTAATGCTACCATGTCATGGAAAGATTTAGTTGAAGATGGACGCAGCTTGCCAAGCATGGAAGGTTGGGAAATAATAAAAAAAACTCAGTCATACTGCTGAGCTTTTAAAAGTGATGATCATGGACTCATTCTACTAATGCAATTGTCACAAACATGAGATCAGAATTTATTATCATTGTATCGCAACAATATTGATGGACCACCATTTAAGTCCCATACTGGGACAAGTTATATTATCTTTATTTGATGTACCAACAACCAAAGCTTATCATGATTGCATGTTTTGCTACAACCTAGATTGATTCAGCCATAAGAGAGGGTGTCGATATTCTGAAGATGGTGGCCACCAGGGGTTTGACAGAGGCGGCAAGATTGTCAAATGCAGATCAGAAGTATAAGCATCTGAGATCACATGATATTCAGACTAACGATGACTAGACTCTGATTATTAGGGAACTACTCTTTCAGCACACCTCGTGATATTTGTTGGCCCACAGTTAGCCTCCCGACCACCGAGATGATCTCCAGACCACTCCGTTGATCTCACAGGATCACCGGCTCACGACAGTGAACCACTCCAGCCGATCTTGCCGACCACCGGCTCAGGCGAGTGGAGCACTTGTCGGTCTCGCCGAGCACGCGCTAGTGTTGCCGAGCACCCACTAGCCGTGCAGACCACGTACCGGTGTTGTCCGTACCCACACACTACGGATCGAGCTAGAAGAGGAAGGGAGAACAGAGCAAGCACGCATAATACAAGGCAACAGCGTTGGCCGAAGCCCTGTCTGTGTGATGGCAAATCTAAGCTCTCTTTATTGAGTTGCCATACATGTCTATTTATACAACTCTAACTATCTAGTCCATGTGCAGCGCCCATGCTGGCACAGTAACTAGATAACCTGACAGGGCTGACTCTGCGCCGGCCACTACCTGTTCCTACAGTGCTGTAGGTGAGCCGTGTGGCACCTGCACCTACAGCGGCTACTGTATCACAGCAGGGGGCAAAGTCGGCGCCGCCTTCCCTTGCTGTGTTCACACACAGCAGGCAGCTAAGTCGGCGCCGCCTTACTCTGCTGTGTTCTCATAAGGTGGCAGTAGATTAGCTAACAATATTCAGACTAAAGATGAAACTCGTTTTATGGCTTGTTAAGCAAAATGCTTTATGTTGACAACCAAAATTGACACAAATTAGAAGTTGAGAATGGCTTGTTCAGGATGTCGTTCTCGGACACGAATAGAATTTTTTGTTGTAGTGAGAAGGTGCTGGAGGACTATGGAATTAGAAAAAAAATAAAAGGTGTGTTTTACTACAACGAACAATCCACTTTGTTTTACTATTTGGTATTCACTATACCTGTCAATCTATTTAAAAAAGATAAGCCATCTCTGGCTACCTCAAGTCGCGATCGTATGGGAAAGTGTTTATTGTCTCCCTAGTTTTGTGAGAAATCAGAGGATATAGGTAACAATAGCAATCCACTATGGCTTTACAAGGTTGAGAAATCCTAGGAGGTTGTTGTTGCGACTTATTCTAGATTACAACTACAACTCAAGATATGCGCTATCCCGGCTATACGGCAACCGCCTTCATGTATAACTCAGGTATAGTAGAGCAACTTTAAGAGTTTCTTTATATCTTTCATCATTGATAAGAACAAAGAATTTGGTAAAAAGAAAATCTTCTCCGACATCATTCAATTAGATCTTTAAATATTGTCACAATTTATTTCTAGTTTCTTGCTCGCCAAATATAGAGAACGGGGCTAAGTTTTCAAAGTGTCGAATAAGATATAGAGAAGTAGGAGGGTGAAGAGATATAAAGTGCTACTTTTATTAAAATGGCTCTCAAACTGAGAATTTAGAGTGTGGGCTTACGAAAAACCGTTGAAGATGCTCTCTAGATGGATGCAGAGAAATAAACAAGAACCATCAAAGAGGGTTTTTTTATAGGGTCCCCGGCATAAAAAATTGGCACCATATAACTGGGCAAGGATACCAAAAGAAACTTTTTATTAAAATAAAAACGTTTACACATGCCTTTAATTTTCCTTTCAGAGAGCCCCAAAAACTTAGAACAAGATTGAAATGACTCGAACCTGCTAATAGTAATAATTTTAGTGTGACATTCATAACGTAAACTGCTTATTCTGGTGCTTACTAGTACATTCATAATTAGGCAGTAGGCTATATTGTCTAGAGCAGGATAGGCTTGAGAAACAGGAGCTTGATAATCCCCTTGAGACCGTCGCTGAATGTGATTGCGTCCTTGTTATCACCGTACATTAACGGCATGCTGGCAGTTATGTTGGCAACTCGTTGCACCGCTGGAAGTAGTTCATTGTTCTCAAAGCGTGCTCTGTTTATAGTCTTCCATGCATCTTCAATCAGGGAATTTATCTTTGCAAAGGCAACCTCAGTTGTAACACCATGCTCACTGATGTAGCATTCGACCGAGCTGTCCACGTCATTTTTGTTCTTTCCACGCTGTGGAAAACACATCCATTACTAGGTAACACTTATGATCTTTAACCTTGATTGGGAATATACATGTACTATAATTAATCTTACCTTAAACGAAGCAAGGTCATTCATGAAGCGTGTCACCTCTGCGAAAGCCTTGACAGCATCTGTGCAACTGATTGCCCACTCAAGTGCCTCCTTGGTTGCTACATCGTCTCCCATGCCAACTAGTAACCCAACAGATGCAAATGGAGCACCTGAGCACACAGTAGATATCTTCACTTGATCTTTAAATGTTGGCTTGTAACCACCATGAAACCATTCCGCTTCTTGGAGATAATTACTTGATAATATTTGAAACTGGAGATGAAAAAATATAAAAGTATAAGGTCATCAGCTTGATAATTAACATATGAGGTCACTGTATGAATGCAGATATATATATGATAGGTGTACCATTACAATATTGCCTATATAAGAGTGGATTTCATATATATGCATAACAGAAATAACTAACTGGTAGCACATAAATATCGGTAGTGAGTTTCTTGTCCAAATCAGCACCTCATCTTGAAATATATAGTTCTATAATTAAACATAGGAGGATTCATACATCATACATATCTAGTATATAATTCTCTTGGCTCAGATATAACCATTTGCAAAAACTTCAAATAATTCAGACAAGATTTATCACCAAAACTTCAAAGACCAAGCTCACTGATGTTATGAGGAAAATAAGATTTTCCAAAAAAAGGGGGGTTGTGCTTGTACCGCTTTTCTGCTAAAAGAGACTCTGTACTTCTCATGTGGTTCCAACTCGTCCTCAAACTCCTTAAAGATGTCCATCAGCTTGAGGTAGAACTTCTTCAGATAATCTGGTAGAAGAGAAATGGCACTCTCTTCCCATCTGTAGGAAAATTATCTGGTTACAGCTTTGAGTGCAAATACTATATGAACTAAAGATTTCCTAGATCAAATTAGTAAGATTAAATTGGAGCACTCCAACCTTTGTATAGCTTCATTGAATTTTCGACACTCCTCCAAAGTAGCACGAACATCGTAAGTGTCGTCTGTCAGGATTATTAGTGCGATTATCTTGGCAAGGATCATCCTTGCCCTTGTGTGTTCTTTCTCAAAGTATGCTGTATAAGACCACAGGTAGCACTCAACCACACGATCCCGTGAGTAGGTCAATTCCCCTTCATTGTAAAGATCTTTCCACCATCTGAGATTAACTTAGGTTGTTAACTGTGTTACGAATAAATTAAAGAACAGGAGGTTTGTTTTATGAAAAAATTTGTTTCAAAAATTCAAAATATTATTTCAAATTTTAGATGAAAATATAAAGATTCTTCTGCAAAACCATCCGCCCTTTTCTGGTTTAGCAGCGCTTGACGGCAACCGGTGTTCGAAGGCCTTGACCTAGAACAACATAAGGGGTGTACCTGATTACCTTGCGAATGATAATCCTGACCCTAACCATGGTGTTCCTGCAGTAATTTCAGTTCCTGTTGTTACCCCTGGTGATTATTTTATGCAGCAAATTACGTCCACAGTTTCCTCTACAGCACCTGTCCCTGAACCCAACGAGCACATGGAGCTACATGGCTCGCCTTCAATGCACGAGGAGTCTGCGGGCTAGTTTGGATGGAACCCTGGGGCTGTTGCTCGGGAAAAATGGCTGCCTGGTTGTTGCCTGTTAATAAGTCATCATATTTTAACTGCTCAGGATATATCACAGATACGTTGTTTGGTTTGAAATATCTGCCTAGCAATTTGATCTTCATTAACTGTGAAGGAATCTTAGCAGGCAACGTTGCCTGTGGCCAGGCGATCGTTTTTGTGTGCCTGGAATGCCTGGACGAGGCAAGAATACAGGGCTGCAAGCAAACGTGGTACCGACAGCATCCAGGCCAGGCAGTCTGTGTATTGGATAGTATCCAAACATCCCTGCATGTGTGCAACACGTCATCGCTGATCCCAGCCACATCTGCATCGATAATGCTTTGACTCGAAAGTCCGGCGTTTTCTGGACGTGGCAGATAACGATTCGATTGGCTACGGCGCCCGTGTGTCCTCCTTCGCTCATCTCTCATGGCCTTATCCGCTCGTCGCACCGTCCGCTCATTCCCACGCCGCCTCGCTCCCTCCCGTGATGCGCATCTGCTCGCGACGCCAGGCTCCTCCGCGCCGCGCACCTCGTCTCATGCCGTTGATCCGCATCCACTAGCTCGCGCCCCGTGGCTCCCACGCCTCTCGACCCTCCCATCGCGCGTGCCGCCGACTCCCTCCCAGGCCGGCGGCGGCGCCCTCACCCACCCCGGCGTCCTCCTCTCCCACCATGGAATATTCCTCCCCCACCCTGACGGCTCCTTCCCCCACATCAGCGGCTCCTTCACCCACCCCGGCGTCCTCCTCGCCCCACCCTGGTGGCACCCCTCCCCCCACACCGGCGTCCTCCCCCACCGGGAGCCCCTAATGCCCGCAGATCCGGCGGCTATGGCGCTCCCCGCGCAACGCTCTCTCTCTCCCTATGTTGCAATTGTATGTTTCAATTATTTCTGATGTTTTAGAGGTATGTTGCAGTTGAATCATATGGATGTTGCAAAAGTAGATCGGGGGATGTTGCGTATGTTGCAATTGTTTTCAGAGGCATGTTGCAATAGTATGTTTCGAGTGTTTCAGATATTTCAGAGGTATGTTTCATCTGTGTTTTCCAGACGCATGTTGCAGTTGTGTTTATCTGGATGTTGCATATGTTTCACATATATGTCGTATGTGTTTTATTTGGATGTTGCATATGGTTGCAATGGTTTTCAAGTGTGTTTTTATGTGTTTTTAAGTGTTTCAGAAGCATGTTTCAAGTGTTTCAACTGTCTTCAGACGTATGTTGCAACCGTTGTATTTGAATGTTTCAAAAGTAAATCGGGTGTTGCATCCTCCTCCCACCTTCTGTTGCATCGTCTCTCCCAGAGCTGATAGGGCATCCATACGACGTCGTGGCCGGGTTCTTTCGAATAGGAGGCACCGCACGTCCTTCCCCTCTTGCCGCTCGGGCGGCACAGGCCCGACGTGCAGCGCAAAACGGGCGCGGCGAGGCAGGGGCCTGCAGAAGGGGTGCAACGGGGGGCTTTTAGAGGGAGCGCGCCAAAGATGGCAGCACTGTTTTTCTGTATGCGGGTGTTGTTTTCTGAGGTGCGTCCAGACGCGTCCGGATGCCAGGCATACCGCATCTGCATTATCCTTGCCTGGTGCGTGCCTCCCTCCTGGAGCCTCTGCGTGTGGCACTGCAGGGCATGAGGAACATGTGTCCACTGTACCTGCTGCTGGCACCGGATCGACTACGACGTCCACTGCTCCATCATCCTCTACACCAGCGGCTGATTTATCTGACACTCACCACCTCATGCACCTACAAGACCCACAACGAGGCTGCAAAGTGGTATTCGTCGAGCAAGAGTGGACAGACGGCACGGTGAGATAGGGATATGATTGTTTATCTACGTCTGGTGAACCTCTTTATTACAAGATGCATTAGCCGATAAAAATTGGAAAAATGCCGTGGATAATGAGTTTGGTGCTCTTATGAAAATAACACTTGGCATCTAGTTTCTCCAGACCATGGTAAAAATATCATTGACTGCAAATGGGTGTATAAAATCAAAAGAAAAGTTGATGGGTCTCTAGCGCATAGCTAGGCTCGCGGACGGGTTTATACCCTCCACGAGCGTGCCCAGGCCAGGCCGCGAGGCCACCCTTGCACGTGCGGAGCCAGGCCGAGACCGCAGCCCAGGCAACCAAACGCGGATGCCCTGCATACCGCGGGCCTGGCTGGGGGCTGGGGCAGGCTACCAAACAGACCCTGAGTTGACTAGGCGAGGGGCTACGGGATGCGGCGTTAGGGTTAGCTCGATGGTGATGGCTTATATATTCCAACCGAATGGACCTTAACTTTCATGGGCCGCGGTCTACTCAATCTACATTGTTTGCTGCAGCTTAATCGGATCCCCGCTGGGATGGGGGACGGAGGATCATCGATCCCCGCCCCAGCCAGCCTCGACGGGGATCAAGTTTGTCCCATTTAGATCCCCGTGGAAAATACATTGCTATCATCCTTTTCCCGTAATAGAAGAATTCCCCGTGAGAAATCAGGGAACGGGCCCTGTTGACATCTCTAGCTTGGCTGGCCTGCCTCCTCCTGAACCCCTTTTAAGTCCGTTATCATTGGAGAAGAAGAGAGGGAGAGTTGGAGAGAGAGAGGGTGTGGAACCCTAACGCCGGCGAGCTCATCGTCTCCGACTCCGGCGACCTCCTCACCGGAACCCTAGGCGACTTCTTATTCCTCTCCGGCACAGGCACGGTGCGGGCAAGGGCACGGGCAGGAAGAAGAGGGGCGCTGAGGAAGGAGAAGGCGGTGGAGAAATCGAGTGTTGAACACTCGAGTGTGTGTTAACATTTCTCAATAGAAAACGAAGGAAATTCTCAAGATTTGAATCATATGAGCAATGCAGATGCAGTGCCTCAAAATTTTCGGATTCTTTGTAGTTTCAGTACTGAATTTGATCCAAGGTCCGTGTTCCCTTCTTCAATGCCTCTCTCGTGTCTGCTTCGAACTCAGCGTTATCTAATCGGAGTTTGACTGAAGCATGACCGATTCTAATGCGGTTTCAAACTGACTGCGCCGTGTACGCCGCCAGCGCAACCCACCATGCATGTATATATCGACCGCAGCCTCTCCCTCTCGTTTGACTTCCAATCCCTCGCACGTTGTTCGCGTTACAGCCGTTCGTTAATTCTCCATGCTCCTTCGCTTGCTAGCGACGGTGGCGGGCTGGTGCTCCAACTCCAACAACACGCCGACCTCTTTGCCGCCTGAAGCTGCCGCCGCCGTCATGGCGCCACCGCTGCCAACAAGGGCGTCCGCCATCGTGGCCGAGTCCGTGTCCGGGTCGCACGCGCTCACCATCATGGGTTACTCCCGGACCAAGAGCCTCGCCAGCAACGGCGAGTCCATCTCGTCGTCCGCCTTCACCCTCGGTGGGTGCCGCTGGTCCTTCCACTACTTCCCCGATGGCCGCGGCGTGAAGAACGCCGGCTGGATATCCCTCTACCTACACCTCGACCATAGCCACGGCATCGACGCCAACGCGAAATTCAAGTTCAGCATGCTGGACGGGGACGGCGAGCCGATGCCGTCGTTCGTGTATGTCCACAGCGGCGGCGGAATACAGAGGTTCATGTGCAGCGGTGTCCCGTGGGGCTGCCACTTACAGGTTCATCAGGAGCCATGCACTGGAGCAGTCCGTGAGATTGATCTATAATCCTAACTGGACCCTAACGGCTCAGTTGGGTCTTTGATTCGTGTCCCGATCGGGGGCGCCTAGCCCACCATGGCTGGAGGGACCCTATCACCCCGCGCTATAAAAAGAGGTGGGGGCCGGCGGCTCTTATCACGAGGTTGACCTGAGCCGAGCTCCCCACCGATATCTAAACCCTAATCCGATCAGAGAGGGGCGCAGCCAGTGACGGGAAGCCACCAGCCGGCCGTCTCCGGACTGCGTCACCGAACTTCACTGCCTTCACCGCCGGTCGCCACTGCACATCACCGACGTCCTCTTCCCCGACCATCGCTGCCCTAGCACAGATCGACTCCATGGCGGACGCGAGCGGATCTTCCACTACGGTGTCAGGTTTGACATGTCCATCTTCTACTCCACCCCTCTATGTCTCTCGTTGCAATAGTAGATGTACTAGGGCTCGTGATTCTATTCAACAGCCGGTAGCCCCTCGGATCTATCCCTAGTACGATCCACAGATTCTAACAATGGTACCAGAGCCATCGGTTTCTAGGGTTTTAGATCTAGAACGGGTAAACCGATTAGAAAAGGAAGTAGAAGGTTAGATCCAGTGCGGGTCTAACAAGAACAGAGGGTTCGGTTGAACCCTAACCCTAACTGGGTTAAGGAAAGAAGAAGAAGAAGAGGGTTTTGGCCTTAAGAACGTAAGAGCCGAACCCTATACCCGTAAAAGACTTCACGGGGAAGATAAACAGCGAAACCCTAACCCTAACTTCGATCCCCATCCCAAATCGGTTGAATCCGAACAGAAACAGAGAGCAAATCAAAGAGATCGATGTTGGGGAAGGGGAGACCTACCTCGCCGCTGCGCAGCGATGCTGTCTCGCCGGTGCGCGGGGAGAAGAAGGCCGAACCGGGGGCGTTGCTCGCCGAGCTCCGACCAAAGAGGCGCCGCGGCCAGGCCGCTCGACGGCGGCGCGCTCACCCGCTAGGGAGCGCGCACGCCGGCGAGGGGGGCAGCGACGGCGCCATGGCTGCCCGCTCCACCGTCGTCGCTCTCGGTTGCTCGCTCGGTGCTGCTGTGCTAAGGAGAGAAGAGAGAGCGGTGAAGAGAGAGAGAGAGCAAAGTGTAGAATGACCGCTAGGGTTTCAAGGAGCCGCTGCGGTCGGTGTTTTGATCATGCGA